GCCGGGGGGCAGGCCTCCCCTGCCTCTGGGGGCGTTAACCCGAGGCCAAAAGCAGCCACCTGGCCGGTGAGGGTGCCAGCACCATGGCCACCAGGGCCTGGTGGCTGCTCAGAGCCAGCGGGTGGGGACGATGGGGACAGTGGGGGCAGTGGTGGCGCCCCACAGGCTCAGGTACAAGCCCTGCTCTGCAGCTTGCTGCCAGGGTGACCCGGCTGGCTCCTCCTGAGGGTCCCTGGTCCCCTCCCCATATTTCTCCCATGGCTGTGGCTGTGGTTGAAAATAATGGCTGTAAGGACCAGGAGGGCCTTCTAAGCTCGGCCCCCGGAAATGCTGGCCCAGTGCAGAGACTGAGGGAGACTAGATGTGGGGAGGGGGAGAAGGGGAGGGGTCGAGTTCTGGGAACCGTGACCCCTTAGGAGGCCCAGCTGCCAGGAGGAGCACCTCTGGGGCCTCTCCCACCAGGAGGGTGTGTGTGAGCCGCACGCGCTGTGAGGTGGCCAATGGGCATCACCTTCAGAGGGCTGGGGAGCCCAGAGGCGGTGGGTGGGGAGTCTGGGGCTGTGGGTCCAATCTCACCTCCGCCTCACATGGAGGGAGCCCCGCCCGCCTGTACACACAGGTAGTGTGAGAATAAGACCACTCAGACCCAAGGCCTTCTGAAGACAAAATGCGCCTGCAGCCCTTGCTGGTTTGGCTCAGTGGATAGAGTGTCAGCCTGCAGACTAATGGGTCCCAGGTTCGATTCCAGTCAGGGCACATGTTGCGGGCTCCATCCCCAGTGTGGGGCGTGCAGGAGGCAACCGATCAATGATTCTCATCAGTGATGTTTCTCTCTCTCCTTCTCCCTCTCGCTTCCTCTCTGAAATCCATAAAAATATTGTTTTAAACAATGTGCCTGCGAATCACACCTCCCCCCAGACCCCATGAGAGGGAGGCTGGAGAGGGGAGAAGCCAGAGATGGAAGCAGGTTCCTCTCCGCGTGTTCATCCACCTCCGTCACTCCGGCTTCGCATTAGCGCCCAGGAACCTG